CGAAGAAGGGTCGCCTTCAGCTCGGTATTCTCTGACTGGATTTTTGCAAGGACTTCGGCAAAGAAATCAGGATGGCTTGGAGACTCCATTGGCAAGAAGAAAGAAAAGAAAGGGGGGAAAAAGACAAAGGCAATCAAATAATCAAAACGAGCTAAAAGAAAAGCAAAAAGCACAATCTGAATCAAACTGTCAAGACCCCCAACAAGATCAAGACTAGAAAATGCTAAAGACAAAGAGAAAAGCTAGTGGAAACAAAGAAGAGGCCTTAGACTGGCGTTGATTCAGATTGTGGAGAAATGGAACAAAGCTAACCTATATATACTATAGGTTGATGAAGCTCCACCACTCTTGGATCGAGGACGGCCTAAATATAGCTAAGGTCGAGGAGGCGCCACATCATCATCAGGAATATGGCTCGAGACTCAGGAATCGGGAAGTGTCTCGAGAGTTAGGAATAGGGAAGTGTCTCGAGAGTCAGGAATAGGGAAGTGTCTCGAGAGTCAGGAATGGGTCAGGAATCCGGCGAGAGTCAGGAATGTGGCAAGAATTGGGGGATTCCTGACAACTACTATTGTAAAGTAGTATGTTTTCTTGACTTCCCAACTAGTGACATGTGCTCTAAAGCAGTCTGATTGAGTGGGCATGTGGCTGCTTTCTTGCATTCCTCAACTTCAAACTTCCATGGTTTGGTCTAATGGACAACATATCTAATATACTTGTATTCTATTTGTTGGCCTTTGTAATGAAAAGTCACCTCTTAGTTGGAGCCAAAGACCATGATCTTGGTTTTACTAAGGTTGAGTTGGAGTTCATTCTCCATGCAAAACATTAATTTGGTCTTGTAGCTACTATTGTGTCTAAGTAGTAGATAGAAGAACACACAATCATTGAGTCTAGGAGGATCAATGATGCAATTAAGATATTTCAAAAAATCCCTTTCAGTCCTTGCCAATTGGATGGTAGAGAGTTCTTACTATACCAAAAGTTGTTTGTGTCCATCAATGAATAGTCCAAAAAGCATGAGGGGATAACAAGCATCCTTGCTAGACTTCAATATCTTGCTTCTAAAGTTTACGTAAAAGAGTTAGATGATGTAAATGAGTTTTGGTGGTGCTTATAGTTTTATTAGCCTCTGGAATAGTTTTGCATATGGTATTGTGCCAAATGCCTTTGCAATCTTTACGTAACAACTATAATTTGACTATGTTGTGCCCTAGTGTGATGGTTCAATAATTCCTAGAAGAACCCATGGAATCAATAGTGGAGTTCAAGAAAGTAGCCAAGGAATTCAAAAAGACAATCATGAAGTTTAATTAGCTTTATGGCATCTATAGACCGATTAAATTGCAAAATGAGTTATTGTTGAGCATGCATTACAAAGCACAAAAATTTTAAACTTTAAATCCAAGAGAGGCTAAAAAGAGTTTACTAAGACAGATAATAAGTTTATGAATTCATCAAATTTAATTATTTAAATTTAAGTTTATGAATTCACCAAAGTAAAAAAGTAAAAAAATGATAATACCAGGCTAATAATTTAAATTTAAACTTAAAACTAAATGAATAAAATTAAATTTAATTAAGTAAAAAAGTAAAAAAATGACAAAGGTATAAGGGCCCTTTTATCAAACCCATGGAACCTTAGTAAATAGCGGTTGCACTAGTAGTAAATGGCGTCATTCTGGATTTTGCAATCCTGAAGGAGCAACTAAAACCTTATAGAATTCTCTTCATAATTGACCCCAAAACCAATGTATGCTATTTATGGAATTAAAGGAACCCAATAAACAATACATAAACTTCTCCCATGAGAATTTTTTCTTTTCAATGGATAAATGCAACCAATTATGCAAGGTTTATATGGTATATTAAAAGCATTAGTTGAAGATTGTCTTTAGGTTGTATGGCATAAATTTGAAGGGTAAAGTTTGACCTTCAATTAAAAAATAATTTTTTTATCTACCTTTCATCTAAAAAAGGCTAAATTTTTTTTCTCATTGATAAAAAGAAAAATTATAGTGAAAGGTTAATTACATGAATGTTTTTCTTTCTTTGCATTCTAAATTTAGAATGCTTACACCAATTCACATCATCTTGATTATAAACATTCATGAATATCATCATCAATGCCTCCAACATCTCCAAAGTAAATCCACTCTTAGCTTTATTTTTTATGTTATTTTGTTCGAAAAATCCTTTTTTGCATGGAATAGTATTAGTTGGAATTGTTATACAAAGTTGTTATAATTTTATAAGATCTAAAAATACAAAAGTTAAAACTAAACTTGAATAAATTTTTTTTCTTACTTAAAAATATATTCCACCAAATTTTTCATCTCTATAGTCACGCTAAGTATCATTCATGATTTTTTCTTTAGTTGATTTCAACATTCTAGTAAAATCATTTAACTCTTGCATAGCTTTCATGTTAATGATAGTTTGATTACAATTGATCTTGTTAAGAAGTCTCTTTAGCTTAAGTTGAGTTTTTTTTCTCTTCTCTATTAAATCATCTAAAATTGAACAAAGATGAAAAGTCTTTAAATTGTTGAAGAATGAGAGATTTTCAAAGCATCAATTAAAACCATTAGCCACTTCTTAAATGTATTTCTTTGCAATACTTTTATAGTTTTTAAGTGATCCTCTTTGTATATTTAATATTGCATTCAACTCCAAAACTTTAATCTTACAAAGAATCTCTTTATAACTCAAAACATGAGAAATAATTTATCTATATACCTAGTACTCTAGCTTTCCAAATTTAACAGTAGATAAAAAACCAAATAATAAAGTTTGAATCTATCCTGCAATCTACTAAATATCCCTTTGAAAAGTTTTAGATTATTAAATCTAAAAGCTGCCAATCATCACCAATAATGTTCTCTTGTGTTGGAACACTAGATTAAGTTTATTCAACTCTGTAAACACATCAGCTAGGAAGTGAATAAAAAACTATACCTATAATAAACATATAAAATTATTAAAAAATGAACAGTTATAATAAAAAACAATTACAAACATACCTAAAAGATTCTCAAGATGTCATACCACTTGGGCAATTTATATTGCCAAAGCTAGAGAACCACCAACATAATTTCTACAAACCATTTCATAACTTGCCCTCATAACAGTCATTACACTTTATGAATTTGTAACAAAGCTAAGATCATAGCTTTCAAACAACAATTGATAACAATTTGCACTCCTTCTCAACCAAGAATATACTTTATTTGGGATAGAATTTATAAACTTGAAAATCTCTTCATCCAATTTGAATTCATCCTTTATTACTAATGCTTCTCTATATGCTATACAATATATACCAAGTAATCCTAGACTATTATTTCTGAAATATTGGACAACTCCTATAATAGACCCTAGCATAGTGTTACATCTATTTAAGTTTGTTTAAGTCCAAATTTAAACTATCTATTGCTTGAATTAAGCCATTGTAAATTAATTCAGTTGTATTATCTTGAAGAGGTAGCAATTGAATGAACTTTGTAATTTAAACACCCTTTTCTTTGTCTCTGAGATAGCTCACATAAAGAATTAAGTGTGTTTAAATCGATTATCTGTACTTTCATCCAACATCAAGCTAAAAAAAATACTTCTTTGCAACTCTAAAAGAAATCCCTCTTTAACAACATCCCCAATTACTAAAACTATTTCCCTTCTTGAGATTGGATTCATGTAAAAATTATATTCACCAACTTTGGAAATCTGAAACACTAACTTTCCTATAACTCTCACAAAGCCTCTCAAATCTGTGTAATGGTATGTTTAGAGTAGCATAAGTATAACTCACTTTCATAACCTTGTATGATTTTCCTTTCCTCCTGTGAAACCAAATTACTTATTGATGCTTCTATTCTCCTTTGTTTGTCTTTTTCAAATCATCATTTGTAATCTCTATCCCTTTTTGAAGCTACATGATCACTAAAATTATCATGATCTTTTAAACCTCCTAATTGAATAATAGTAGATTTTACTATAGTAAAAACATTTTTTTCATAGCTTAATTCTCAAGTCCCATGTGTAAAAGAATTAAGAAAAGAAAAAGTTTAAATTTATTTTACTTTTGTCATTAGTTTTATTAAAAGCCCAAGGATAACAAAGGGGTCCAATTGGTTGAAAATTTTTTGAGTGGCCATTGCTTTTTTTATGTATAATCTTCTTCCTCTTGTATTTCCTGTACTAATGCTCTAACTACTTCCTCTTCCAAGGTTTTTTAGGCTTTCTTAAGCCAATTCAGCAATGGGCCACACTTTTTCCTAAGATCTATAACTTAAATGCATCAATGTATAGTATGCATACCTTCTAGAACTGGATGAAGATTCTTACTGCCCATCCATTTTCTTCTCTGGAAAAATGTACCCTAAACAAGACAACTATGGCTTGCAATCTAAATTTCAATCAATTGAGAGAAGATTCCTAGAGAAACATTGTATTTAATTTGGAATATTCATTTGTCCATTAAGAAAGAGAGAATATTCTGAAAGAATATTTTGTTTTATTGCCCTTGAAGCTATATGGAAGCACATCTTTCAGGTGAAAGAAATTTTGGCCCAATATTTAAAGGGCCTTTTGAAAAAACACATGTCTCAAAAAGGGCCACATCAATTTTTGCCCTGCTGGCAGCTGGGCTGCACACGACGACAACCACTGCAAGTGACATCTGCAGAATATGCCTAGACTCTTTAGCCAGTGGATGGTCTATTGTCAGTGTATTGTCCGATGGACAATTTCTAGTGATGTGCCGATGAACATTTACTAAACTATTACAAAAGCTTCTTTCTTTATAAACCAGAGAGTTTGACTCGAAAACAGAACCACGCCCCCATCCATATTTTCGAGCGTTTGCGAGCCATGAAGCAAGTGGCATACCTCTCCTCAGCTGGGAGCTTGAAACCTCTTCCCCTTGCAATTGACTACCTCGATTTGATGCTGGACTAGTGCGTGATAAGCAAACGAAAGGTCCGAAATCTAGCGCGATCGCAAGCATCAGAAAACTAGAGATTCAGTGAAAAAGTAGGACAAACGAAGTCGTAGGCACAGGGATGCTTCTGCTTTGCTGCTGCCGCTGGAACCAAGATCAGCTAGAAAACCAACAAAAGCAGCCGAGAAGTGTAAAAAGACGCCTCAGCTCGTTCTTCTGGAGCAGCTTTTTCCTCCCCGCCCGTTGCTAGAGCTGGTTGTGTGTTTCAAGACTTCTTTCCTCCTCCATCACGTCAACTGGTTCGTCCATAACCCCAGAAGCGACAATTCTGCTGCGACTGGATGGATGGCGTCCCCACAGCTTCTCTTGCGCGAGCTGGAATCACTGTCCCAAAGAAAAATTAGTGTGATACCTTTGCGCTCGAACTGGAAGCAATCCCCGCACTTCAAGTGGAGTTGTGGATCCTGCAGTTACACACAAAGGTATGAAAAGACAAAGTTTTCCAGAGGTATTCTCATACTTTACCTCTGATTTGAACAGCTTGCTGAGCTTCGGCCGTCACCCGTCGCAGCTTCGGGAACCCAGCAGATGACCCCCTGCAACAAAAAAATCGGACAACTTTAGTACCGGGGAGATCAAGCAAAGGTGACGAAGACAAACCTGATGGTCCAACACGAACTTTGTTGGTTTTTCTGTTTTCTCCCTAGCAGCTTCTCTCTGATCAGCGCTCAGCACGGCTGCCGTCGTGGAATCCAATGCCGCTGCAGAAGGGAGATTATTAAAGCGAAAACCTCACCTTTAAAGGCAGCATAGCGAAGCTTTTACTTGTTTCTGTTGATCACAGTATCAACTGCAGCCTTTACGTCCTCTGGAACATTGTGGATGAGAAGGGAAAAAGATAAACAAACTGCCCTCTCAAACTTCGGGATCGCGGCTTACGGCACTGATGTACTGGAAACATGTACCAAACGAACAACCTTTCCAGACGTGATGACAATGGACAGGTGTGTATCTTGCGGCATCCTGGCTAGAGAGAAAAGTCGAAGATCTTACCGAGCAAATACCGTACCATATGCAGAAGCTTGCCAAACCGTTCTCCACCCCGGCCTACAAAGAGAGGTTGGAAAACACACAGAGAGCAAGGGGGCTCACCTCTTGGATGACGGCAACGCGCAAAATCAAATTTTGCGAGTGGAAAGAAATTTCTCTGGGAGAATGATCGTCATTCATTATTCAATGACTTAGATCCAATTAGAGGCAAGATCCTCCTCTCAACCTGGTCATTCTGGACTCTCTGGCGAGCGAACGCTAAATCATTATCTAGGATAGAGCCTGATTTACCTCGATACTCTGGAGGATGCTCCCTGCTACACAAGAGATCCGAATCATCAAATCCACAGCGCCCATAGCTAACCACCTGGAGCAAATAGTGCCAAATACATTTCCATGGCTGTACAATTCCCACAGCTCCTTCTTCTTCCTGTCAATCTCTTCCAACTCCTCTTGAGATTTAACCTGTTTAGGCCTACAATCCTTATGTCGACGGTAATCCACCTCTATCCAGTCAGGTTTCACGCCTGTCCTTGAGAATTCCATGACTGCTTTAAGCAACTCCACGGCCGCTTCCACCTCCTCCATAGCTTTTCCCTGCCCTAGAAAACTGCTGTTATATAAATGACAAGTAAAAAGGATATCTCGGGAATATCTGATTTCGGGTGTATCGGTGCATACAAAAACCCAGCAACAGTCGAGGAGATCCACGAGACCAAACACGTATAGTTTGAGCTCGAGCTCAAGTCATCCCTATCTCCAGAAACTTTAGCTTGATCTTGGTAGAGAAATTGGCATTGATCTCCATTCCAGCTTCTTTCTCGGCTTGAGTAGCACAGGCCTTGATACCAGCAACAAAACTTCAATCGTCTGGCTTCTATAGCCTTCATCCTGTCAAAAAGTTCCAGTCCCAGCTCTTCCTCCCGATTCTCCACACAGCCATTTAAGAGATGACGACAGGAAAAAGAGTTTCTCCTTAATTTTGCTAAGCAGTTGTGAATAAATATCCAGGACAAAGACTAGAGGGAATTGCATAGTTAGTAAACAATATTTTACCATGCTAATAAAATTTGTATAAAAGTGTTTTGTATGAATGGGCCAACAAAGGAAACTCAATACATGTAATACAAATACATTACGGCTACCAGCATCTTTTAAGCATTCCTTGTATATTGCTGCTCTTGAAGTTCCAGCTACTTTAGAGAACAGACTGTAAAGATCAGTCACCTTCCGGATCCATAACCATTTGATGGAAAGCATCAAGATTTAAAGCAGTGACGAACGAGGCAAAAACATTCCTTACATTGTTGTTGTTAGAGTCGTCATCTTCACTTCCTTCGCTTGATCCATCGATGCCACTACTGCTAAGTAGTCAAAGCATGGTGAGCTCAACCCTCAAAAGGAAAGAAAGGCCAAAGCTGCCGTTTCTGACAGGCTTGCATTTCTATAGCGAGTACACACCTCTGCGAGCTAAAATAAATTATAGAGCAACCATTTGGGGCAATGCTTGTTGTTCATTTGCTATATATTATCAACATCAACACTCTAACAAGAAAAGTCTTATCAGGTTGCAAATCGTGTTTGTATTGAAAAGCAAACGGCAAAACAAATTTATTTAAGAATAATTACATACATCTTAAAATTTAACCGTCAGATTCGTCAAACTCACCGGCACAAAACATTTTCATAGCGACAGCAGGAGACCTTGCCATGATAAAGTCATAGACATTGGCAGGTTTGTGGAAGTCCTCGAGGTCATCGTAAGCCAATCAGCCGAACATTTATCACCTTGCAAGAGAGCATGGCTTTGACCTGCTGCAGGCACTCGGCAATATCCCCGTTGAAGACACAGCGTTAAACTGTGACATGCGCCACAATGAGCTTCATCACCTCCCTGAACTTGGCCTGTTCCCAGCCGCAACCATGCTCCAGTCCCAAATAAACCTTGGCCAACTCAGCCACTACCATGCCTTTTAGAACTACCTCCATGCTGAGTCCCAGGTCGAACACGCAGCTCTCAAGCAGCAAAGGGCAGCCACAAATGTCCATTCTTTTCACTAAAGTGCCCCAGGCTTCCACTGCGGAACGTTTTTGTGACTCTGGAACCACCGTTCCAGAAAAAAGTCACCGGAGCTGGACATAATCACTACCGTAGTCTAGTCCTGCTTTGTCATGGCTACAAACCATCCCAAGAGAGTAGCTACATCATTGTTGGACCACTGCTTCAACCTGTCAGCTTCATCGATGACAAAAATTGGCCTCCTGTGCTGGTTTTCAATTTCCAGGCTCATAAACCAGCCTTTCACTCGCTGGGGAGTGACATCAGGTACGCGCTCCACTCTCACTTGAAGACTTGTAATGCTTTAAATCTTTGGATCCTTCTACGCCAGCCATCTCGGGAAGGCCTATACCATGTCATAAGCGCAAGTCATGTTCCACATAAGAGCCATGTAGGAAAGAGAGGAACAAGCGCCGGTTTCTTCCACAGGAGAGAAATGAATCTTCATGGATGTGCTCGCAAATTTTTTTCCAAAAAACGCGCAGTAAAAAGCGATATATACTACTACCTGGCGTAGATAAATTTTTGGATAGAATTAAACAATAGCACAAAAAGTATGTGTCTTGGACACTCCGGAGCAGGGAGGGCCCCTTGCATACACAGAATGCAAAAGTGAAAGAGAAAAAGGAAAAGAAAAAAAGAAAGAATACATAGTCTAACATTTTGTTTTTTGAGGACTTTGGGTCCCTTTGGCTTATTTCTCTCTCTCTCCCTCTCTCTCTCTTTCTCTCTCTCTCTCTCTCGCTTTTCTGATTGTTTAAGAAAAGTTCTACACCACCAACATAAAGAAGAAAATATTAGGGATATTATTAACGGTGGTTGGCACGATTGCACTCCAAACCATTTGATATTCAATTGGATTTCTAATGCATAATTTCCACGTTGACCCTTAGCTTGCTGAACAGAGGAGATTACTCAGATTTACGCGATGAGCTTAGAGATGGATCTCATCTGATCGAGGGCGGACCCAACCCTATCGATCCATCGCACAAGCGCAAGCTAGCAGCTATGGCGCGATTCTCCCCGGGACGATCGTCTTGGCATGGCAATGGCTGCGGCGATTTAGGCAGAAAATGCTTACTTCTCTTGGCAGCATGGCTGATATTCCTTGCGGGCTTAATCGTCCACTTTGGGAGCGATTCGGGCGCCCCCTCGATCAAAGGACACGAGCGCGATGGATTCTTCCTCGTCGCAGTGATCTTCAACAGGGTGTTTGCGGCAGATCTGTTCAACATCACGTCTTTCGAGTGCCGGCAGTGGATCGATTACATGGGCAGCGCAGGGGTGGAGCACATCTACTGGTATGACACCGCCCACGATGAATCCGAGTCCCAGGAAGAAAGTCTCCGGCCATATGTGGAATCCGGCGCTCTCACATACCACCGCTTCTACTCGCTCTTCCCCAAGCTCGAGGGCTCGGATTTCCACTACGAGCAGGACAATTCCTACGCCCATTTCCTCGCGAACTACAATCGATCCGGCGGCTGGGCGATCGAGATGGATGTGGACGAGTACCCATTCTCGCCCACGGACACGAATCCGGGATTTTTGGCCAGATTTTTGCGAAGGACAGGCACGAGCGAGGTGTCCCAGATCTTGTTACAGTGTATGCTCTTCATGGGGAATCCAATGGGCGATCCGGGGAACTGGGTGATCGAGCGCTACCAGAGGAGGAAGCGCGAGAGCGAGGGCACGATCCCGGGATTCCATAGCCGCCAGAAGCCGATCTTTCGGCCAGCGCTGACCGAGGGCGTGACGACCTTCGATCCACACAAGTTTGTGATGAGGATTGGGGCGACGATCGTGGCGGAGGAGAAGGAGATGAGGATGAACCACTACTGGGGGCCTCGGCTGACAGATTTTGGGCCTGATACTCCAGAGGCCGTAGCGATGCTGGTGGAGGACAGTGGGATTCAGCCCATCGCGAGCTATCTAAAGAGGACGAAGATTGGAGATGATCTTAGATACGGAAACGGACGGCCTAGATTAGGCCCCCTTCCATTTTGACAAAGTTATTTGTACATAACTTTTAACCCGTGGGTTAAATTGCCCCCATTCCTTTTAGGGTTTTAGGGCTTCTATTGTTCGATCCAACGGCGCTTCTTTGTTTCGATTGATCGCATTGTGAGTGGTTTAGTCATTTGTGAGGAGCTAGGGTTTTAGCACGGTGGCGCGCGATGCCTCCTACTCCACGCGCGCCATGAGCGCCAGATCAATCGCGGTTCTTCATGGAAGCGCATGAATCGTCCATGGCGCCGCCGGAGGTAGGGGATAGGACGCCTTACGCGGGTAGCGGCGGTAGTAGCAGCAAGCTCAAGCTCAAGAAAGGTTCTTCGTCCAGCGCGAGGATTAGCACGCCGTATGAGAGGCCAGCGGCAGCCGCAAGGCATCCCAGGCAGGCGGCAGCGCTCGCGGAGAGCAAGGAAGGATGGATTGGAGGCAGAATTGTAGGCTCGGCATCTAGGATTCTAACCAAGAGTGCTACATTTTTGTACACTTCACTGTTCAAGCGCCAAGCTCCGGCTATCGCAGCTCCTCCTCGGCCAAATGCTGGTGGGTTTGTTTGATCTCTTTTGGGTTTTTGTGAA